ATAATAAGATTCTGTGTGTAGGGACTGTTCCTTTGCTTTGCAGCCTGCCAGCTTCCTCTTTGATGGAAATTAAAGGAACCCTTTTAAAAAGTTAGATGGGCAGAGAATATGGTGAGAACTTAAGGGAAGGTGTTTGGGGGCATGTTGATGATCCGGATAAAATGTGTGATGAGTAATGTTGAAGTCTTCCAGAAAGTAATACCATTGATTTATATCAGCCAGTTAGCATGCTCTAACCCTCTTTTGTCTCCCTGTAATAATTTAAATTGGCTTTACTTACATCAAATTACCCTCTTGGGAGGGAAACCACCCAGATGTCATGTAGGGAAACCACTACATGATGTCTGTAGCCTTCCTCAGTCTATCTTTGAGAACTTGGGGAATGGAGATCCCATTGCATGAGGAGGGACCCATCATGGGGAATCCTGGTCTTACATACATAATATACAGAAATAACCTGCTTTGAGTGGGTGGGTGTAAAATATTTCTGTTCTATGCCAGAATAAGAACTATTCTAGTCCATACAGTGTGGTAAGAATAAACTTTGCTCCAACCAGAGGCAATTGTAGTTTTATAGTACAGGGCTCTTTCTATCAAATGAAAACTGGGCTTTACTCGTATGTATCTTAGTGGATCTGCAAATGGTACACTCGTCTAAGTATTCTGTGTCCCACAGTGACCAGTTAGATGTCTTCAGAAAGTTCATTGGTCTGGACTGGAGGATAGTAGCACTTTTTCACTATTGCTACCTAGCAGTTGGCATTTAAGATACGCAAGAGTTAGTTTTGCTGGCTGTGTTTACCATTGGTAAATTGTGTTAGCCATTGGTAGCCAGATTCTTTCCTGTATTTGTATAGTCCCTGTTTAAAATACCTAAATTGGTGTCTATCACCCCTTCTGATGTTATGTCACACAGTTTGTTTATTTATTTATAAATCAAATTTATATGCCGCCCATCTCACTACATAGGTGACTCTAGGCGACTTACAAATAACCATAAAAACAGTAAAAAAAACCTTACAAAAACTAAGTTAAAAGACGGAAAGAGTATCCTCAAGTCACCAGCCACCCTAGTGCTGCGAGCCCCCATTGGATCCCCAAGCTAGTCAGCAGAGCCAGGTCTTGTGCTCTTCCAGAAGGCCAAAAGAATGGGGGCCAATCTCATCTTGTGGGGGGGGGGGGGGAGAATATTCCACAGGGCAGAGATGATGGCAGAAAAGGCTCTCCTTCTAGCCCCCCCCAGTCGAAATTTTTTAGCCTCTGGGGGGCATAGCCTGCTCCCCCTGCC